AAAATCCTGGGCTCAAGCAGTCCTCCCACCTGAGCCTCCTGAAGTGCTGAGATTACAGATGTGAGCCACCATACCTGGCCCTACTTCTTAGCAAAGTACCTTGGACACAGAAACTGGGAAATAAATGCTTTCGAATGATCAAATGGGTCCACATTGCATAAGCCCTGGCACTTCAGAGGTATTCCATGAGCCTTCTTATATAAAAATGCATACATACTGACAGATGAAAGGATGAAGAAATAGATAGATAGATGGATTTTAATAATACAAGAACTCAAAGAAAACATAACAAAGTGAATTCCGTAAACCTTCTACCATTTGAAAATTCATTATTTCAACTGAACAACTATCTGGCTAAATTAATTTTTCATTTTTTAATTGAGTTGCTTGGTTACGTACATTATATAAAGGTCCCTGGATGATATAAGACAGTGAGTGCTCAATCAGTAAAACCTTAGCTACATATTCAAATTAAAATCGTCTAGGTCTTATACTCCTAATGCCAATTCTGCTTATTTTTATATAAAAGTCACTTTGTTGGCATAAAAACTGGGACTTAAAGGTCAGTTGCCGTGGCTCACTCTTATAATCTGAGCACTGTGGGAGATTAAGGCAGGAGGATTGCTTAATCCCAGGAGTTCAAGACCCACCCCGGCAAAATGGCAAGTCTCATCCCTATAAAAAATGTAAAAACTAGCGAGCTGTGGTGCTGTTTCTGTAGTCCCAACTACCCCATCGGTTGAGGCAGGAGGATCACTTGAACCTCGGAGGCTGAGACAGCAGTGAGCCATGGTCAGGCCATTGCATTCCCACCTGGATGACAGAGTAAGATTCTGTTTCAAAAGAAAACAAACAAACAAACAACAACAACAACAACAACAACAAAAAAACCAGAATTTGCAAGTTGATATAAAATCCCATTTCTCTGGGACTGAAAGAAACAAAAATAACTCCTCTTAGGTTGTCATTATTTATTGAAGTGAGGTCAAAACAAATGACTCACGTGTACTGGTTTATACCTGTGTTACTTACTTTGTTAAAGTAAATGAGCAAAACAAGGGTACTGCATATTCCATGAGATATTTTTTAAAATATATTTTATTAAGGCCGGGCACGGTGGCTCAAGCCTGTAATCCCAGCACTTTGGGAGGCCAAGGCGGGTGGATCATGAGGTCAAGAGATCGAGACCATCCTGGTCAACATGGTGAAACCCCGTCTCTACTAAAAATACAAAAAAATTAGCTGGGCATGGTGGCACGTGCCTGTAATCACAGCTACTAAGGAGGCTGAGGCAGGAGAATTGCCTGAACCCAGCAGGCGGAGGTTGCGGTGAGCCGAGATCGCACCATTGCACTCCAGCCTGGGTAACAAGAGCGAAACTCCATCTCAAAAAAAAAAATGTATATATTTTATTGCACTTTAGGTTCTGGGGTTCATGTGCAGAACATGTAGGATTGTTGCATAGGTACATACATGGCAATGTGGTTTGCTGCCTCCATCCCTGTCACGTATATATGGTATTTCACCCCTTGTTATCCCTTCCCCAACCTCCCTACCCTCACTGTCCCACCCCATTCCCCCTCAACAGAGCCCAGTGTGTGACACTCCCTTCCCTGTGTCCATGTGTTCTCATTGTACAACACCCGCCTATGAGTGAGAACATGTGGTGTTTGATTTTCCGTTCTTGTATCGGTTTGCTGAGAAAGATGGGTTTCTAGATTCATCCATGTCCCTAAAAAAAACATGAACTCATTGTTTTTTATGGCTGCATAGTATTCCATCGTTCATATGTGCCACATTTTCCTTGTCCAGTCTATTATCGATGGGCATTTGGGTTGGTTCCAAGTCTTTGCTATTGTAAACAGTGCCACAATGAACATACATGTGCATGTGTCTTTATAATAGAATGATTTATAATCCTTTGGATATATACCCAGTAATGGGATTGATTGCTGGGTCAAATGGAATTTCTATCTCTAGGTCCTTCAGGAATCGCCACACTGTCTTCCACAATGGTTGAACTAATTTACACTCCCACCAACAGTGTAAAAGTGTTCCAATTTCTCCACATCCTCTCCAGCATCTGTTGTCTCCAGATTTTTTAATGATTGCCATTCTAACTGGTGTGAGATGGTATCTCAATGTGGTTTTGATTTGAGTTTCTCTAACGACCACTGATGATGAGCACTTTTTCAGGTTTGTTGGCCTCATACATGTCTTCTTTTGAAAATTGTCTGTTCTTGTCCTTTGTCTACTTTTGAATGTTTTGTTGTTGTTGTTGTTGTTGTTGTTGTTTGTTTGTTTGTTTTTCCTGTAAATCTATTTTAGCTCTTTGTAGATTCTGGATATTAGTCCTTTGTCAGATGCGCAGATAGAAAACATTTTTTCCCATTCTGTTGGTTGCTGGTTCACTCTAATAATTGTTTCTTTTGCTGTACAGAAGCTCTGGAGTTTAATGAGATCCCATTTGTCTATTTTGGCTTTTGTTGCCAATGCTTTCAGTGTTTCAGTCATGAAGTCCTTGCCTATGCCTATGTCCTGAATGGTTTTGCCTAGGTTTTCTTCCAGGGTTTTTATGGTGTTAGGTCTTGTGTTTAAATCTTTAATCCATCTGGAGTTAATTTTATTTTAAGGTGTCAGGAAGGGGTCCAGTTTCTGCTTTCTGCACTTAAGTAACAAGCTTTGCCAACATCATTTATTAAACAGGGAATCCTTTCTCCATTGCTTGTTTTTGTGAGGTTTGTCAAAGGTCAGATTGTTCTAGATGTGTGGCATTACCTCTGAGGCTTCTGTTCTGTTCCATTGGTCTATATCTCTATTTTGGTACCAGTACCATGCTGTTTTGATTACTGTAGCCTTGTAGGATAGTTTGAAGTCAGAGAGTGTGATGCCTCCAGCTTTGTTCTTTTTGCTGAGAATTGACTTGGCTATGTGGGCTCTCTTTTGGTTCCATATGAAGTTTAAGGTGGTTTTTTCAGTTCTGTGAAGAAGGTCATTGGTAGTTTGATGGGGATAGCATTGAATCTATAAATGACTTTGGGCAGTATGACCATTTTCACCATATTGATTCTTCCTAACCATGAGCATAGAATGTTTTTCCATCTGTTTGTGTCCTCTCTTATTTCTCTGACAGTGGTTTGTAGTTCTCCTTGAAGAGGTCCTTTACGTTCCTTGTTAGTTGTATTCCAAGGTATTTTATTATCTTTGCAGCAATTGTGAATGACAGTCCATTCTTGATTTGGCTCTCTGTTAGTCTGTTATTGGTGTATAGGAATGCCTGTGATTTCTACACATTGATTTTGTATCCTGAGACTTTGCTGAAGTTGCTTATCAGTTTCAGGAGCTTTTGGGCTGAGACAATGGGATCTTCTAAATATATAATCATGTCATCTGCAAATAGAGACAATTTGATTTCCTCCTTTCCTAATTAAAGACCATTTATTTCTTTTTCTTACCTGATTGCTCTGGCTAGAACTTCCAATACTATATTGAATAGGAGTGGTGAGAGAGGGCATCCTTGTCTACTGCCAGTTTTTAAAGGAAATGTTTTCAATTTTTGCCCATTCAGTATGGTATTGGCTGTGGGTTTGTCATAAATAGCCTTTATTATTTTGAGACATGCTCTGTTGATATCTACTTTATTGAGAGTTTTTAGCATAAAGGGCTGTTGAATTTTGTTGAAGGCCTTCTCTGCTTCTATTGAGATAATCGTGTTTTTTGTCTTTAGTTCTGTTTCTGTGGTGAATTACATTTATAGACTTGAATATGCTGAACTATCCTTGTAACCCTGGGATGTAGCCTACTTGGTTATGATGGATAAGCTTTTTAATGTGCTTTTGCAATCAGTTTGCTAGTATTTCATTGAAGAGTTTTGCTATGTTCATGATGGATAGTGGCCTGAAGTTTTCTTTTCTTGTTGAGTCTGTTGGGTTTTGGTATCCGGATGATGTTGGTTTCATAAAATGATTTGGGAAGGATTCCCTCTTTTTGGATTGTTTGGAAGAGTTTCAGAAGGAGTGGTACCAGCTCCTCTATGTATGTCTGCTAGAATTCAACTGTGAACCCATTTGGACCTGGGCTTTTTTTGGTTGGTAGGCTATTAATTGCTGCCTCAACTTCAGCCCTTGTTATTGGTCTATTCAGGGTTTTAACTTCTTCCTGGTTTAGGTTTGGAAGGGTGCAAGTGTCCAGGAAGTTATTTATTTCTTCCAGGCTTACTGGTTTATGTGCACGGAGTTGTTTGCAGTAATCTCTGATGGTAGTTTGTATTTCCATGGAATCGGTGGTTATATCCCCTTTATCATTTTTTTATTGCATCTATTTGACTCTTATCTCTTTTCTTTTTTATTAATCTGGCTAGTGGTCTATTTTGTTGCTCTTTCAAAAAACCAGCTCCTGGATTTATTGATTTTTTTGAAGGGTTTTTTTTTTTTTTTGTATGTGTGTGTGTGTGTGTGTGTGTGTGTGTCTATCTCCTTCATTCCTGCTCTAATCTTAGTTATTTCTTGTCTTCTGCTATTTTTGTTTTTGTTTTTGTTTTTTCATTTTTTATCTTGCTCCTCTAGCTCTTTCAATTTTGATGACAGGGTGTTGATTTTGGATCTCTCCTTGCTTCTCACGTGGTCATTTATTGCTATAAATTTTCCTCTAGACATTGCTTTAAATGTGTCCCTGAGATTCTGGTACGTTGTTTTCGTTCTTATTGGTTCTGAAGAACATCTTTATTTCTGCTTCATTTCATTGTTTATCCAGTCAACATTCAAGAGCCAGTTGCTCAGTTTTCATGAAGTTGTGAGGTTCTGAGTTAGTTTCTTAATCCTGAGTTCTAATTTGGTTACACTGCGTTCTGACAGACTGTTTGTTATGATTTCCATTCTTTGGCATTTACTGAGGGGTGATTTACTTCCAATTATGTGGTCAGTTTAGAGTACGTGTGATGTGGTGCTGGGAAAAAGGTATATTCTGTGGATTTGGGGGTGGAGAATTCTGTAAATGTCTATAAAAATATGGAATACTTCACGAATTTGTGTGTCACCCTTGTGCGGGGGCCATGCTAATCTTCTCTGTATCATTCCAATTTTAGTGTGTGTGCTATCAAACGAGCACCCAAGAGAGCTTTTTTGTTTTTTTAGCAAAGATTAAATTTAATTTATACCAACATATTCTACTCTAATGAGGAATTATAAGGTGTGAGGTTAAGAACACCAAAATATGTAAAAGCCATACTTGGCATCTTCAGTGATTTAATATGATTTATTTTTTAATTACAGATGTAAGCATATTGCAAATTTTATTTGTTGAATGGCTTTCTAAAACAAGTAACAGAAAATCCAACCTATAGTAAGCTAGCTAAACAATATTGTGGTCACTTATCTCACACAACAAGTTATCGAGAAGCAAGGAGAGCCCTGGGCACAGAACATCAGTTCTCCCCCTCTGTGTGGCTCCTTCATTTCATTCTCAGGCTGGAATGGGGTGAGCTTGCAATTCCAGACATTACATCCACATGCAACAACACCCAGCGGCTAAAACAAACAAACAAAAAAGCCAAGTGTGTCTGCCTCATCCTGTGTCTCTATTTAAAAATGGAATATACTTACTCAGAATCTGAAACATTCAGTCACCTTGCAGGATTTCTCTAATTGGACAGATTGTGTCACATTTTGTGACTTAACCAATCACTGGCAAAGGAAGTGAACCACAGTCATTTACTCAGACCAGCAGTGTTCAAACTCTTTGGTCTCAAGATTCCTCCCTACTTTAAAAATCCTGAAAAGCTTGTGGATATCTGTTTTTTATTATCTATCAGTGTCTACTTTGTCCTGACCCAAAACTGAGAAAATTTTAAAACAATAGCCCACAGCACACATTCGATTAGCTATCCCAGGGATGCCATCATCAGGTATAGCATAGCCTCTGAAAAACTCCTCTTTGTGTATGTAAGAGAATGAGAACAAAAATAGCAAATAAGGTTTATTATAAAAATAAAGACAATTTAAATCCAATGGATTCCTTAAGAGGATCTCAAAATCATGACCCCTGGACAAAACTTTGAGAATCACTAGATCACACTGTAAGAAGGAATACTAAGGAATTTCAGATAGAACAACCTTCTCAGTAGCATATGACTTCATGGAAGAGCATGAATACTTGCATAAAATTGGAATTCTGTTGGTAAAGGAAAGGGAGTTAAAATGGATGTTGGGTAGGTAAGCAACAGTCAGTTACACACATGCAAGCCAATCTTTGAAAGCCCAGTGATATTTTTAACATACAAAAGATAAAACATATATGATAAATGTGTTTAATATGTGGCCATTTTATGAGTTATATCCAGCCCCATACATATTCTGATGTATAGTACATATATGCAATTTTATCATATATATTTTAAGGAAATACACTTTTTACAATTTTAAAGTCAGTTATTTCTGATGAGTCATATACTGGCCTTTATAAAGATTCAGAGAGTCTAAGTTGAATAACCTAATTTTGGCCACTGTCAATTTGTAAACGTGGAACTATTCACTGGAGACTGGAGTCCAGCCCCGACAAAAAAAATGGTCCCACAGGTGACCATTTTATACAGTATACAGTGCTGCTTGCCTTTTTGTGTTTTATAGTGCCAAGTCTCCTGTATTCTGGTACTAATTATCTCATAGTATCAGACAATCTTACATGCCACTCAGGATGCCCTTTGTAGTTATTGCTCCATAATAATACTAGGAGACCCTAATTATGGAGCTTCTACCAGGTTAAGTGAATCATCTTGCAGAGAAATGCCACACAGTAGCTTCATGATTTGGAAAAACAACACACTGCTTTGATCACAAATTTTAAAGGTCATGGAACTGCCATAGTTCTTATTAAGATTGCTCTACCAAGATGGCTGAATAGGCACAACTCTGGAGTGCAGTTCCCAGTGAAAACACAGAGGGTGAGTGATCATCAGATTTCCAAACAAAGTTTTACTGCCCACAGATCAGGAGATTCCTGGGTGAAAAAGCACCATGAGTCTCCAGCGTGGCTGATTCAGCCGGCACAGTGGGTCTCCACACAAAAACTCACACAAATCCAGGCACTGTTTCAACTGTTGACTGGAACACCTGGGTGACAGAGTCACTCATTCAGCTGAAAAAAAGGGGCTGAAACAGGGAGCCAGGTGTTCGGGTTTGGCTGATCCCACCCCTACAAAGGCCAGCAATCTGAAGCTCTCTGGATTGAGAGTTTCATAGCAAGCACAGCTGGACCTGGGATGGTCCAGCTCTATGGGGGGAAGGGTGTCCACCATTACTGAGGCAATCCAGCACTATCAAGGCAGTCCATCATTACTGAGGCAGTACACCATTACAGAGATAGTCCACCATTACAGAGACAGTCCGCCATTACTGAGGCAGACAACCATTACTGAGTCAGTTCTAACTATACCTCTACAAACAAAACTGCAAGGAAGTTCACACAGCAGCTGGGCAGAGCCCATGGCAGCTAAGCAACACCTCTGCTGGCAGATTGTAACTACGCTACCTCCGTGCTGGGTAGGGCATCTCTGAAAAAAGGCAGAAGTGTCACAGGAACTTACAAGTAAAGCCCCACCTTCCCAGGACAGAGCACCTGGGAAAAAAAGGTGGTTATGATTTCCGCTGTAGCAGACATAAATGTAGCTGTCCAGCAGCTCTGAATGGAACATTGGAGCTCACAGCTCAGCACTTGAGCTCCTATAAGGGATAGACTGTCACCTCAAGCAGCTACCCAACCCCCGTATATCAAGAGACACCTTATAAAGGAGAGCTCAGCCTGACATCTGGGAGGTATGCTTCTGGAACAAAGATAACAAGAAGAAACTGGCAGCAACTCTTACTGTTCTGCAGCCACTGCAGGTGATCCCCAAGCAAGCAGGGTCTGGAGTGGACCTCCAGCAGTCCTACAGCCTGACCATCAGAAGGAAAACTTAGAAACAGGAAGAAATAACTTCATCAGCAACAAAAAGGATGTCCAGAGACCCCATATGAAAGCCAACAACTACAAAGACCACAGGTAGATAAATCCACAAAGATGGGAAGTTACCAGTGCAAAAAGGATGAAAACACCCAAAACCAGAATGCCTCTCCTCCTCCAAGGGATCACAACTCCTCATCAGCAAGGGAACAAGGCTGGATGGAGAATGAGTCTGATGAATTGACAGAAACAGGCTTCAGAAGGTAGGTAATAACAAACTTCTCTGAGCTAAAAGAACACATTCTAACACAATGCAAAGAAACTAAGAAATCTCTTAGTTTGACGAAATGATTACTAGAATAAACAGCTTAGAAAGAAATATAAATGAATTGATGGAGCTGAAAAACATAACATGAGAACTTCGCAAAGCATACACAAGTTTCAATAGCCAAAATGATGAAGCAGATGAAAGGATATCAGAGATTGAAGATCAACTCAATGAAATAAAATGGGAATTAGAGAAAAAAGAGTAAAAAGAAATGAACAAAGCCTCCAAGAAATATGGGATTGTGTGAAAGGACCTAATCTACGCCTGATATGTGTATCTGAATGTGACAGAGAGAATGAATCCAAGCTGGGAAACACTCTTCAGGGTATTATTCAGGAGAACTTCCCCAACCTAGCAAGGCAGGCCAATATTCAAGTCCAGGAAATACAAAGAACACCACAAACATATTCCTCAAGAAGAGCAACTTCAAGGCACATAATCATCAGATTCACCAGGGTTGAAATGCAGGAAAAAATGCTAAGTGCAGCCATAGAGAAAGGTCTGGTTGCCCACAAAGGGAGGCCCATCAGACTCACAGTAGATCTCTCTGAAGAAACTTTACGAGCCAGGAGAGAGTGGGGGCCAATATTCAACATCCTTAAAGAAAAGAACTTTTAACCTACAATTTCATATTCAGCCAAACTAAGCTTCATAAGGGAAGGAGAAATAAAATCCTTTACAAGCAATTGCTTAGAGATTTCATCACCACCACATCTGGTTTACAAGAGCTACTGAAAGAAGCACTAAACGTAGAAAGGATCAACCAGTACCAGCCACTCCAAAATTGTGCCAAATGGTAAAGAACATCAACACAATGAAGAAACTGCATCAATTAATGGGCAAACCCACCAGCTGGCATCAAAATGACAGGATCAAATTCAAACATAACAAAATTAACCTTAAATTTTAATGGGCTAAATGCCCCAATCAAATGACACAGACTGGCAAATTGGATAAAAAGTCAAAACCCATCGGTGTGCTGTATTCAGGAAGCCCATCTCACATGCAAGGATACACACAGGCTCCAAACAAAGGGATGGAGAAAGATTTATCAAGAAAATGGAGAGAAAAAAAAAAAAAGCAGGTGTTGCAATCCTAGTCTCTTATAAAATAGACTTTAAACCAACAAAGATCAAAAGAGATGAAGAAGGGTATTACATAATGGTAAAAGGGTCAATGCAACAAGAAAAGCTAATAATCCTAAATATATACACAACCAATACAGGAGCACCCAGAAACATAGAGCAAGTTCTTAATGTTCTACAAAGAGACTTAAACTCCCACTCAATAATAGTGGGAGTCTTTAACACTCCACTGTCAATATTAGACAGATCAATGAGACAGAAAATTAAGAAGCATATCCAGGACTTGAACTCAGACCTAGACCAAACAAACCTAGTAGACATTTACAGAATTCTCCACACCAAATCCACAGGAAATATATTCGTCTCAGCACCACATCACACCTACACTAAAATTGACCACATAATGGGAAGTAAATCACTCCTCAGCAAATGCAAAAGAATAGAAATCATAACAAACAGTCTCTCAGACCACAGTGCAATCAAATTAGAACTAAGAATTCAGAAACTAACTGAGAACCTCACAACTGCATGGAAACTGAACAACTGGCTCTTGAATGTTGACTGGATAAACAATGAAATGAAGCAGTAATAAAGACGTTCTTCAAAACCAATGAGAATGAAGACACAATGTACCAGAATCTCATGGACACATTTAAAGCAGTGTCTAGAGGAAAATTTATAGCAATAAATGACCACATGAGAAGCAAGAAAAGATCTAAAATCAATACCCTATCAATTTAAATTGAAAGAGCTAGAGG